TTTGCTCGGGTTAAGCAATTTCACGTAGTGATTAGGTGTTGGCAAAGTTTTTTTAAAAAAATTCTCTGCGATTGGGGTGGTGTAAATGCAACTTTGGAGGTGTTAATGCAACTTTGTGCAAACTTTGTGCAAAGTGACCAGCATGTGAAGCAACACAAGAATATATAAGCGTGCCTTGTATATTCAGATCATTTGCCCATTAGTCTTCTCCAACCGGCAACATTTTTTTGCTGCTTTGTAAATAAATTTTATTTTACCGAATCAATCAACGCGGTCACCGAACGGGAAACACGATTTTGACTGGACATGAGCTTGAAAAGAAGTTTTCAATTGAAGCCTCAAAACGTCGGGAAAAGGCTACATAGGAGAGAATGGACGTTTTAGCATTCCGCCCCCCCCCCCCAGTACTCTTAAGGCTTAAAGTTTCTGTGCTAAATTGTTAAACTAAAGCAAAACATTTAAACACAACCCCCCCTTATTCTTGGAATTGTCAGGAGCGGGGCGGGGAGCAGTACATTGGGTCCTAAATCAAATGGCTTCAAAAGAGTGAACGCAAACTTGCCTAATGAAGCCTTTCCCCGGTTGAGTAAGCCGGGGAGCTCAGACGTTGCTGGAACTCAATGCCATTTGCTCCGAGATCCGATGATGACCAGGTGAGCAAATCTTCCATGTAAAAGGAGCGCGCGATTCCCCATCTGCCTTCGAAGGAGCGTGTATTATTTACATAATGAAAGTTTTGATGGCTGGAAGCGACGCAGGGCCAGGAATACGAAAGAGCAACTTGGATCGTTTTGGAAAAGGTGGCTTTCAGCATTAAAAGATGGGACGATCGCTAGTGGCGAGGATGGTTGTTTTTTGTTTTAATGTCGCTTGAGGTGTTACCAGAAAAGTAAAAAATGCTCCAGTTTCTTAAAATATTGTATATAAGTGTGTGTGAGAGTGTGTGTGTGTGTGTAATAGACAGAAGTATACTTTTTATCCGGCCCATCCACTACCAATGCACTACTTTGAAAGACTTGTGTTTTGGCGATTTGAGGGAGCAGGGAGGGGACGTTCATCGAGTACTTGATTTGAGTCTCGAGAACACAGGTTAACGACCAGCTTGACTTTCCTTTAACTATGGGTGGGTGGGTGCGCGCGCGCGCCTGTGTGTGCAATTTTAGAATGAGCGGGTCCAAGCGACAGCTCTTCGCAATGTGAAGACTGCAATCCGATGCGAGAGTAACCCCCATCCAGTTCAACGGCCCTCCTCCCTCCAATAAATCTCTGCGCAGCGATGGGCCTTCTCCCTTTATTTTTCCGGGATGGATTTGCATGATGTTCATATCAGAACCACACTATTGCAGTATACTTTATTAGGAAGGAGGAAATCGCGCTGTAAGGTAGCGGTGTAAAGTTCAGCAAATAATTTAATGCGGGGAGCGAGAAGGGATAGATAGAGAAATAATTTTTTATTTTTATTTTTAGATAGAGAATGATTTTGAGCGAAAAGTGTGGCAGGTAATTTAGGCCCACAAGGCCACGTTTATTAACTAGAGAGAAAACTCTGCTGAAGTATACAGTCTTCACTTCTGAGTAAACACGCACAACATCACGCTGAGCAAGTGCTTTTATTTCCTAAAAGGAAGGGGGGGCCCTCCATTGTACGTGTGGGTAGTGAAGAGAGAAACTATCCCCGAAAGTCACAAGGCCTAGTTTGCTTCAAGCTCCAGATGATCGAAAATATCCTCGTTTTGAAGCGAGACACTCGCATTTGCGCCCTTTCCCTGAATGCTGCTAAACAAAACATTGATTACTTGTCTCCCACAATGAACAGAAGGCGAGCCTTAGGAAAATTAAAGGCGTCCTCTGTGTGTGCGTGCATGTTGGTGTGCGTGTTCTCTTATTATTATCAAAACCAAGACAATAAAAACCAGCTGAAGGCACAAATTTCGGAAGATCAGATCTCATATTTTCTTGGACGTTTTGATAGATAGATAGATGTATTCTCGAAATCTTCAGATCGTCTATTAAAACGTTTTGATAGCTGTCGGTATTTTTTTGCTTTATTTTTTTACGGGGAACGCCTTCCCGAAGGCGGAGGGAGGCTCAGCTGGATCGGGAGAAGTTGAGTGGCTGTATAGACACGGGGCAAGGTTGTGAAATCGCAAGCACGTTAACAGAAACCATTTCAGGAGATAAGGATCTGGAAGTTCAAACCCAGGAGCGCTGCAAACCCAACAAATACCACCACCGGAGTGGTGACACCCCCGGGACGGCAAACTTCCCAAGTTTCCCGAGGGTGGGTGGGTGTCTCTCTGGTTTGGAATCGCCCGCTAAGGCTGTGCCATTTGGAGATGTGACAGAGGGGCATTCAAACATCAATGGATGCTCATTTAAAAACAAAACAAAAGGGGGCCATATTATTATTATCATTATTATTATTAAAGATTTTCTTGGTTTACAAAAGTACATGCCTTGTCTCTTTTTTCAAGTTGCACAGTCTTTTCTACAGATCAACTATATTTGTTATGAGACATTAGTGCTGAGTACAGTATAAGGTCAGGAAAAAGGGGGGGGAGGTGGTGAAATTTATATTTTTGCAGTGTACACGTGGGGTTTCGTGTCAGCGTCAACTAGATACGTTCTCTTTCTATTCGCTTGTTACGTTTCCTTGGTAGTGAGAGAGGTTGGGGACCAGGGTATGGTTGGTTGTTTGCAATGGGGCTTGTTTGCCTTTGTGGGGGTGGGGGGAGGACTTGCTGGGTCAAGTAAGCCAGATTGATTGCTATGCTGTTGGCAGGTTCCTGTTCTGGTCTTGTTGGGCTGTGATATGTGATAAAGGGAGTGCAGATGTCCTCTTCTATTTGTCCTAGTGTCAGTTTCAGTTTATTGCTTAGCTTTTCTAGTAAGGCTGTTTCCCAATGATTTGGTACCACTGGTCCATGTGCACCCCGGCATGTCTCTCCAGTGTCTGGCTATGAGGCTTCTGGCTGTTGAGAGTTATAAGCTCTGTATAATGTGAGTGGTCATTATGATCTTGGAAGATGTTCAGTACTAGTTCTGGGGTGAGTTCTAATACCTGTTTAGTTATTTTGCATATTTTTAGGTCCCTAACCACCTTCAAAAACCTTCTCCTGACAGCAGGGGGACATGGCGAAGGGATGGTATCCACAATATACAAAATACTGCTCCATAATCCCACAAACCCCCTTGATGCAATCAAATAACAATGGGAGCATGACAGGCTATGAATTTAACCCCACCCAATGGACTAGAATGTGGTTTAAACCTCCCTTTAAATCAATCTCAGCTAAAAGAAAAGAACTCACCCTGAAACTCACCTACATGTGGTACTTAACACCACGGAAACTGGTACTGATACACCCAGGAACCTCACCAAAATGTTGGAGAGGCTGCACTCCCACAGGCACATACCTACACATGTTGTGGGAATGCCTAACCCTTCTGGGGCCATAAACATTTTAAAGGCCTGAGTGTTTTGTATTCAAAAGTAAATATCAGCCAGAACAGATGCACCTGCAAAGGGTCCCCTTTGGAGATGGGCATACCTCTCCAAAAATCTTTTGTCTTTTAAGAAACCATGTCAGCCTCCTGTTGGCAGACAGATGTCTGATCCAAAGTCCAATTAAGCCAAAGCACGTGGATTTTCAATTCATACAGTTCCATCAAAGGAGGTGATAGGGCTAACTTCCATGTACTTTGAGTGGGGTCAACCAAAGATATTTTGTTGACTGAGGAGAAGGACCAGAGAGCAGTCCCCTTCTCGTTCCATGTGCAAAAGCTGACTGGACTGGCAGCTGCATCTTGCTTCAGTACCAGTGTTAGGACAACAGACTTAACCACACCTGAAGCAGCAGGTAGATTCAGGAAGTCCAGGACAGGCTGTGTGGCAACAGAGCAGGATGCTCAGGAAAAACAGCCCATGAGCACCTGAGCTGCCTGAGATAAGGTTGCCTCACTCTGCCACATGGTAGGGCTGGCACTGACTCTGGACATACTTGATTGGACACTGAGTTGAAAGGTTACCATCCATACCTTTGCAGTGCAAGCCTACATGCATTTATTCCAAAGTGAGTGCAATTAAGAAGCAAGATAGGTGTGCACAGGAGTGTATCTTTGGACTGTAAGCTCATGGATACAGTCTATGAAGTGCTGTCCTCTTCCTTCTTGCCCCTGTTAACCTCAGTGGAGGTCTCCATTCTCAAGTCAGCTGACAAAGTGGGTTTGCTTGCTCGTCTTCAAGATCCGAGTGCCTTTAAATCCCATTGCCAATTTGCATCTCGGTCCCCCTTCACCCACTCAAAAAGGTATTAAGAAGATGGTTGTCATTAGCATTAATTTAAACTTTTAATGTAAGCCTGTAATTAGCATTCATCAGAGGGAGGAAGAACATGAACTTCACATGAAGCTAAGGATTCAGACCAGGCAAAGCTAAATAGAACATTTTGGGCAGGAAGAAATTAACAGAGAAGGACCATGACTCCTTCAGCATCATCCAGGGTGTAAGTGCACAAGCAATTAAGCTGCTGCTATTTCTCTGGAGATGCCTTGGGATGCAGAATGAGAATGTGTTTGTCAACCATGTTGCCCTATCTTCACTGCTTCCATCATTAAATGCTTCTTTGGCCCACCCAGGCAGGCCCTGGAAGGAACTTTGGTGTGGGAAAGAAATTAAGTGATTCATTAAAAAAAAAAAGAAGGAAAGAAAGAAAAACAACAGGCCTGTCCCAAGTGCTTTGTTATTATTTTGAAGTGGTGACTAAAAAAAATGTAATGAAAAATGGAAGAATGGAGGATGTCACTTAAGAGTATGAGAGAGCCACCTCTTCAAAAGAACAAGGCATCTTTTAAGCCCCCTCCAGTAAATCAATCATAAACATTTGGCAGTTCTTCATTACAATAAGGTGAAGGAAAAGCCTGAAACAATTTTTATTCTATGCTTTCTTGGCTCTGATAAGTACCTTGTTAAACATGATTAATGTTAACATAAACTGTGTAGCTTGCAAGATCTTTATTGGCAATGTTTAACTGCTTAAAGACACCACCATTCCTCACCCTTTTATCACTTCCCAAATAATGCGGCTTTGGTGCAACCAGACACTGGGAAACGAGGTGGGCTTTTTCTTCTTCTTCCTCTCCAACCTCTTCTTGCTGAGGACCAAAGTCATTTCCAAAATCCTGCCCAACATCATCTCCAACATGCCAAGGCATCTTCATGCATTACATTTTTGGTAGGTGTAGTCCAATACTTTTTCGGTGTACATCTGAACACAGGGATAGAGAGGGTGACAAAGTCTTTTAAAAAAGCTGTGATTGACTAAGTTTCTCTCTCTTATGAGTAGACATGTGGTGGACCTCCAGATTTGTAGTTACCTAGTATGTAAAATTATGGGACGCGGGTGGCGCTGTGGGTAAAACCTCAGTGCCTAGGACTTGCCGATCGCATGGTCGGCGGGGTGAGCTCCCGTCTTTCGGTCTCAGCTCCTGCCCACCTAGCAGTTCGAAAGCACTCCTAAGTGCAAGTAGATAAATAGGTACCGCTTTATAGCGGGAAGGTAAACGGCGTTTCCGTGTGCTGCGCTGGTGCTGGCTCGCCAGAGCAGCTTCATCATGCTGGCCACGTGACCCGGAAGTGTCTCCGGACAGCGCTGGCCCCCGGCCTCTTAAGTGAGATGGGCGCACAACCCTAGAGTCGGACACGACTGGCCCGTACGGGCAGGGGTACCTTTACCTTTTTAGTATGTAAAATTGCCCTGGGGCTACTATTGTGGGGGGCTGGGGAAAGGAAATAGCCAGAGATCTATAGACACTCTGGTTCAAGCTAAACCAAGCATCTAAACAAGACTAGTATTGGCTGAGGAAAGACATCCAAGACAAGGTCCCAAATGGAGTTAGGTCTTTTGTACAGTCCCATTGATATTAGTCCTCTTTGCTCTACTCATGTTCCCACCAAAGCTGAAATCACAGCTACTCTCTTGCATTGCCACAAAAACAACACATCTACATATTTTTGTAGACTTAAAGCATCATGCATATCACTGGATACTTGGGCATACCTACTCTACCAGTTGGTTGAACAGTCATTCTCTCTTACCAGGGAACTCTGAGTAATATAGCTCTATAACCAAAGGGCAGGGAAGGAGCAGTCACTGTTGTGCCCTCCAGATATTGTTGCACAACAATTCCCACCAGCCCCTGCCAACATGGCCACTGGTCAGAGGTGATTGTGAGTAGTCCAACAACTGGGGGTCATTATGCTGCCTACCTGGGAACTAGGGAATGTCTTTGACCCATTTTTAAAGGTTGCTAATCTGCTGTCCCATTCAGGGTTCTTGTATAAATTCACAAGGGCCCTAAACAAACTGAGTCCAAAACATCTTAAGAACGATCTGATTCCCTTTGCTCCACCTCCACCCCCAAGATCTTCCAATGGGACGCTTTTGCTCCTGAGATACAGCCAGCCTTTATTAGGGACTGAGCCTTTAGTGCATCAGGATCTGCCCTGTGGAACTTCTTGCCAATAGGAATTCAGAAAGAGTTGTTGTTTTAAATTGCATTTTTAAAAAAGATCCCAGTTTTTAAAAATAGATTTTTGATATTTTTTATACTGATGTTATGGTAATATTGTGTTTTTGTGCTGTATACCACCCTGTTAAATTTTCTAGTGGAGTGTGTGGTGTATAAATATTTAAAATAAATAAATTACTTTGAGAACAAAACCACTCATATCTATCATGGCACCTAGGTAGTTGCAGAGTCATTTTCACATGGATGAATTTCAGTTATTGTGACCCGAGGATGTGGACAGGGTGCTCTGAGGAGTATGACTTGGCAGTGTTTTACCCAATCCTTGCCTGCAACGGCTTAGAACATCTGATAGGAGTGTGATGACTGGTTGGTTCCAAGAGACTGTAAATGCTTCATTTGGAGAGAGAGACAGAGAGAGGGCCTGTCTGCCTTGTAGGAGGTGATCATGAAGCCACTCCTGAAGAAGCTGAGCCTGGAACTGGAGGATAAGCTACCCAACCAGTTGCTAATATCTCTTTCTCTTGAGTGGGTTGGTGGTCCTTCATCTCCAGGCACGCCACTAAAACTGCCTTGGTTGTCCTCAGGGTTATCCTGACCTATGCTAGAAGGAGGATAGGGGTGGGGGCAGAATGTGGCCATGCTGATTGTTTTAGACGTCTCAGCAGCCCTTGACACCATCAAGCATCCTTCTGGATCAGTTAGTCAGGTAGGGACTAAGTGGTACCATACCCAGATGTTTCCACTCCTATTTGACAGGCAGTTCCAGAAGCTGGAGCTGTGGAATTTCATTTTATGAGAAGTTTTATGATGTGACACTTAACACTTGCCAGTAAGGCTCCTATAACTCTGCTTGAAGATGCAAACCTGGAATTCACTGGGGTCTCCTCACCTCTGGAACCAAACAGTGATAGATCAGACAATTTCAAATGTTCTTAAATATTTATTGTAATGTAATTTAACTATAACAAAATGAAGAGTAAGTAAGAAATAACAGAAAATGAGCAACACATGCATAGGTTCTCATGTGTCTAACACCAGGTCCTTCTTGCTTCATACTTACTCATTTAGTTCCTCCATTCCAGAACTTACCCATATCTCTGCTACTTATATCGATCTGACCACAGCCTTTTAGCCCCTTTCCCTATCTCCACCCAACTTGTGGTGTCCTTTCTAGTTGACTCCCCAGATCTTTGTCTGCTCCTCAGTGATAACCCAGTTCCTTGTCTTGCTGTTCTATCCTCATGAGCAAAAGGCTCCTAATGCAGTACACCATGTCCCACCCCTAGATTCATCTTCAAGACAGTTGCCATGCTGCCATTACCCAAATCCTTGTGTTCATCAAGGCTTTATTTAAAACTCTTGCCCAAGCATGCACTAGGAGCTTTGCTTTGCTTCTGCAGCAAGTTCCCACCTGCTTTTAGCTATATTATACTGTTAGTCTCAAGATTCCATGTCTCCATAATCTCGAACCCTCTTGATTTCCTCTTAAGCAATAGGAATAAACAATCAAGCAACCGTGTACCTATAAGAATATGCCCATGTCTTTTTAGTCCTGCCCTCTGCACCATGGAATCTGTGCTATGATGTTTTCTAGAGATCTATCCTGTCCTCCATTCTGTCCTCAATCTCCATGAACCCTTTGAGTGAGATAATGTCATTACTCCACCCTCTGAGTGGTGTAAAATGTCATCAGCATATGGATGACAGCTGGCTCAACATCAAGACAAGATGAGGCTGCTGTTAGTAGATGGTCTGTTTGACCGGCTTATGTTTCCTTGAAAGCAGTAGTGTCTGTAGGCAGGTGAGTATAGACTGCATCTTTAAAACACAAACACACGCTGGTTCTCCGTTAAAAAAAGTTTTCCGTCAAGATGCCCTTACATGTGGGATTTTCGATATTTTCTGGATAGCATTGCTCTTAAAGATCAGATAGACAGACTGGGAGTGCTTTGGATGCTCAAACAGCATTAGTGACACAAAGCACTTTCACCAGCCTAGGTGGTGCAGAGCAACCCCACCTGGACAGAAGGTAGCTTTGTCATGGTTATCCATGCTCCAGTAACACCCAGCCTTCACTAGGAATGCTGCCAGTGGGACTGTATTTGAGGATCTCTTGGCAACTGCAATTAGTTCAAAATGCAGAACACATCTTGCTAGTTTTGAAACAGCTTTGCTGGCTTCCCAAGTATTTATTGGCACAATTAAAAATGTTGGTATTAACCGAAACAACAACAACACTATAGGGGCGTTCACATGTTAAGTTTGACAAATGTACAGTCTGTGTACATGAATCACTGAGCTGCACAGATCAACAAATATACACTGTTTCTCACAAACACCTAAGAACATAAGGAGCTGCCTTCTACTGAGTCAGACCATTGGTTTGTCTAGCCCAGTACTGTCTACACTAACTGGAAGTGGCTCTCTAGGATTGCAGGCAGGGCTATCTCCAAGCCCTACCTGAAGATGCCAGGGATTGAACCTGGAACCTGGAACCATGCAAAGCAGATGCTCTAGCACTAAGCTGTAACCCTTCCACACTAGTACTTGTGTAGAGACAACTTCTACCTGTTTTAAGTGTAACATGTGGATAAGCCTTATATGATTTGAAATCAGGATTGAAATCAAGGACCACTTACTCTTGTATGATGCCCATGCTTTGAAGTCATCTGGGAAGGTCCATCTCTGGGTCAGGCTGGTGGGGACTGGAGAACTGGCTTTTTCTATGGGTGGTACATCACCTGTTGTATGTCCTCTCTAGATCCGCATGCCTGGCCCTTGTGGTCATAAGTTTGACATATGAAGTGAAAATATTCTTATTTGCACAAGCTTTCATATTGCCTTGTTGTTTATACCATTTGCTTGCTACTTTTAGGATCTAGAGATGTGAGAGTCTATTTGTTGCAGTGTTGGCTTCTGCAGTTGCTGTTTTTAGTTTAGTTTTTATTATGTTCATGCTGTGCTGTAAGAATTCTCAATACCCTTGCTGAAATAAGAAGAAGATTTTTTGCAGGAAGTCATGACATTTAAACTTGTAGGTAGAGAAACATACAGCCACCAGTCCTTAATAGGACAAAACTCTCAGGACCACGGGAGCAACAGAGATGATGAGCCATGCAAGAGCCTCAGAGTTGCTGGCAAAGTGGCTGGTCAACTGCCTATGAGGCTACTTAGGAGGAAGGGGAAATGCATGCAAGCACCTGCCAGAATCAGGATCTGCCTAACAGCCAGCTCCTATATAAACTCTCACTCTTGAGTTACTTCACCACTGAAGCAACAGGTCCAAGCTCTAATACAAAGCCGTCTTGAATATCTGAAATTCACTTATGTTTAGCCATGATCACAAAGAGGTCCAGTGTCCTTACACATAATCTTTTGAGGGCTACAGTGTCCGTCACTGAATCCTGCCCTAGGAGGCTGCTGTTTAATTTTCCCCAATGTTCCCCAATGCAGTGTTCCTTGGAGATATCATGGGGAATGTCCTTGGGGGGTCTGGGAGCCAACCTTTTAATTTCATTCAATGCTCTAGAATAATGCAATGTATGGGGATTGTAGGAAACTAAAATGGCAGCTCCCAGGCCCACTGGGGCTCCATCCAGCGCTGCTTGCTATCCCCAACTAAGCCTGTTGTGGGGGACCACGATTTGCCTCAAATGATACACAGAAAATCTGTAGCAAGCAGGGTCATTAGTAATGCTGGAAGTTCATTTTCTACAGCTTATAGGTGGCGTGATGCAGCCATAATTAAGCTCCACTGTGAAGTTCCACTGTGATCCTCGGATGAAGGGTGGTATAGAAATTTAACAAATAAAATAATATGAATAATAATCCCTTGGAGCAGAGCATATGTCTACATCCTTCCCATTCAAAACAGCGAAACTCAAAAGTGCCTTGCTTCGGTTGGAGCACACCCAGAATTTTCTGGAAATATTTTATACACAGAAAGCAAGGATTCAAGATAGAATATATTACAAAGGATTATGAACCCTTCAATGTATCAAAGAACATCATCTTCAGGCAACACATTTATTGCTATCTGTGTGTTGGTGTCCTGCAATAAACTGTAATTATAAAACCCCCAGCAACCTGGAAACCTAGTGAATGCTTATCCCAAACAGACCTATCTAATATCTAGACATTTGTTTTACGTTACTACTGTTACACGATAGGCATCTTCGAATGATGCCAGCCAATGCTAGAAGAATTTGAATGTTGGGTTTGCAGCAAATATTTCTGCAAAATCAAAGGGGTATATGGCGTTGGTTCTGTAACTAGAAACCTTTGTTCTTCACGCTCAAGCAACTGCAATCATGTGAATCTTTGAATGACAACTCTAAAAGGGCCTGTCCAGACCTGGCATCACTTACTCGGGAGAGTTATCTTATTAGCATCAATGAGTTGAATCACTAATTGGGGGTGGCACGCCTCACTCAAATTTTAGCTTCACTTTTGGCTATTATGAAGATATGACTCTGCAACAGATCATCAGATCCAGCCCACGGTGTTTAGATTGAAGAATTGCTTTGAGCTCTTCACCATGTGTCACAAACCAAACTTCTAAATATGTCTTTCTGGACGTACCTTGGCATTTGCACTGCTTTTGGTCTGGCTGAAGAGTTGTTGTGCTAACAACAACAACAACCATCTTCTGATCTTGTTTTTACTAAATTCTGTGACATTTCCCCCACCAACTCTGAAAACTTGTGGCCCTCCAAATGCTGTGGGAATCCAGAATCTCATCAGTCCCAGCCAGCAGGGTCATTCATCAGGGATGATTGAAGCTGTCATCTAAGAACATCTTACCCCTGTTCTAAAGGATCAGAATCATGCTCTTGTGTTTATTGTGCATGCTGGATCAGGAAGTTTGTGATAGCTTCGTAGGCGTGCAACAGATTTGTGACGTTTTGTGGGTGTAGCATTACTAACATTACTAGTATTTTTCTTTTGTTCTGCTTGCTGAGTTTAACATCTGTTTTGTACTTTGGAAATCTTTCTGACAATCACATTTTTCTTCTTCCTGGCATAGTTCACCACTGGTGTGTGTATGCATCCCTCCCCCCACTCTGTGTGTGTTTAAAAACATTTCTACTAAGAACTTTTGTATTCAGGGAAGCCTACCCAGACATAATATTATTTTATAATGGAACAGAATACTACTAGGCACAGTGCCTTAGTACACCTTGGGCAATCTGAAGACTCTTGTTAATAACCGAGATTCTTTAAGTCATGAAAGATGGTATGAACAGCAGTTGCACATCTCTGTGTTGTTGCAGGAATCCTATCTAGACTAGGGAATGAGCACGGTTAATGCCTGATTTCTCCAGCACCCCCGAGTTGCCAACCTGTTACTTCATGTGGAGCGCAACCTCATCTAAAATAGGCTGATGGGACCTGATATCAGAGATGTGTGGTCTGTGGGCCGGGGGGAAAGCTATGCTAGTTGCCTAACTGCAAATTAGAAGGTGGTGCAATGCTCTGACGGGGTCCAAGAGCCCTCCCGCCATCTTCCCAAAGCCTGCCCAGCTTGGGGAAGGAGGCTGCAGGGCTCCAGTATCCTGTCAGATACTGGGAAGCTTCAGCCTGGGAAACTTCAGCCCAGTGATGTTGGGATGTCACTAGATCACACGCGCGACATCGCCCCCTCCCCCTATTGCTCTTGTAAACTGGCACCTCTGGCCCTAACTGTTGCCCTACGAAAAAATTCACCACATGCCACTGCCTGATACTATAAGCCCATCTAGCTCAACACAGGAAGCTGCTCTCTAAGGTTTCAGACAGATTTCTTTCCAATTCTTAGTCATACCCGGAGAAGCGAGGCGGAGGGGGCGGTGTTTAAATTGGGACCTTTTGCATGCAATCCATGTGCTTTTTCATTGAGCTATGGTCTTAGCTCCTCTGCCTTGTCTGGATTAACATTTCATTTCTGAAACCTGACACAACTCATTGGCAGGGAATATGGTCAAGGCCAAGAAGCTTTTAAGTCAGAACCTTTTTTTGCTTATTTGAGGAGGGCGTCAAACAAAGTTTCTTTAGGGAGCTTAAAATCGTATGGCTCTCTCAAAGTCGCAAGGAATTAAAGGTAGGAGATGCGAATGTCACCCTTTCAGCCATAAGAATGGCCAAAGTAGAAGCTTCAGGCCTGCACAGCAGTGTAAGAGCGCCCCTCCCTTACAGAACTTCTCGTTAGTACAGTTGCTAATGACTATAAAATGCATATGGGTTAATGTTGCAAAGAGTGCAAAGGGTGGCAGAGCCTGTCTGCACTGCACGTTGCCTCACTTCTCTTTAATGCTTCCATGGCCTGCAACGCATTTTATGCTGCTTCCTTTGCTTATTCCAGTGCTTTCATTTTGGAAGCGAACCCTCCGTGCATGTGTTTTGGTTTTACTGTGGGACAAAAAGGCGCTGTTCACAGAGACACGTGGAGATAGTTTGATAAGACACAAGAATTGCCTGCTTGACAATCTGGAAAGGCAAAGCCAGCACTGGTTAATTTAGAGCGCTTATCATGGCTGCTGAGAGATAAACTGCATGTAAAATTAACACGGCAGACTCATGTGCACATCACTACTTACCTGAGCTCAGCTGGACTTCTGAGCAGTGGTGGATTTGGGGGAGTGTGACTGAATTTCCCGCACTGGGCACTGAGCCAAGAGGGCACTGCAACCATGACTTAGAATGCAAGGTGAGAGGCAGGGGCTGGTGCTAAATGTTGGTGTTATACAGGGTGCTGCTGAAGTTTGGAAGCCCAAAGTCCACCACAGTTCTGAGTAAACATGCAGGGCACAGAGTGCATACCTGCCAATATATAGTGGTTCTTGCCCCACTGTGAACCTTAAACTTGCTGGAAATGGCTTAGGGAGTGCTGTTAGGAGGTGCTGTGGTGCTTTTGTTATATTTATTGTACTGTGCCAGTGCGCACCTTAATTTTCACAACGTAATTTGGCCAAAAAAAGGTGAGCATTTGATTTGAGTAAATATGGTAATTGAAAACAGAAAGTAAGCAACACAAAAACGAAACACCCCAACAACTTGCAGAACAGTCCTTCAGATCTCAAAGACTACTGGCTATTAGAGCTTCTGCAGCCATTCATTAAGATAAGTCCACTGGCTCAGCTGCTGAGGTGCAATAGAATGCTAATTATATGTCAGAGCTCAAGTCCCAGGAATGGATAGGCTTTGTGTTGCTGGTGGGAAGGAGCATGGCAGGAAAGAGACTAGAGCACCCTGTTGAGGTCAGTTGTTCGATTGTGAGTGCCTATAGTGTGTTTATGTGTGAATGTGGTAGCGGGACTCTAAGGAAAGATAAAGGGAGAATTGCTATAGATCACATTCACATCATATGTTTAAAGTACTAAGATTCCCCTTTGAACAGTCATGGCTCCCCTCTCCTCAATAATCCTGGGGGCTGTAATGTTTTTAAGAGTGCTGGTGTTGGTGCAGAAGGGAAATAGGTGTAAAAGGAGAATTACTGAATACCAAGATCCTAGTTTGAGGAAAGTATTCTTTGGGGAGTGAACCCCAGCAGAGATTTAAAATATGCAGCAAGTAAAGCATGGAAATATAGGCTGTTAGACATTTAAAATCTGTCCTTTAAAGTGAGTTCCAAAGTTCTCCTCTTCCCCTAGCATAGTAAAAGACAACATGTTAGGGAAGTTTAAAATGATTTACTTACAAACTCTCCAAAGGTCAGATTCATGTGCTTTTCCATGTAGCATTCAGAAAAAGTTGCACAGGCAGGAAACTTGTTTTAGTTACAAAATGGTGAAAGTTCCTAAATAACTGGTATAGGAACTCAAGAGTGGCTGATGAGAGCCATGCGGTCTGAGCTGGAGCAACCAGCAACCAACAACCTGAAGCCTCCTTCCTAATTGAACTTCTCAGGTAGACTGGAAGGTTAACAATAGGTTTGCTTACCCATTTCTTCCCATGGTAACAGGAAGTGACCTCAGTAAGTCTGGCAGGACAGCTTACTTTATGGTATTAACCGCTTTGTGCATTAATCAGATTGAAGCATGTTGGTTATAGGAGATTGGTTATCCCACAGTTAGGAGACCCCATTCCCCTCCAAGAGCTCTGAGAAATTCTCAGAGTTCCTTTTGAAAGATTGTGTGAAAGATTGTCAAGCCATTCTGAGAATACTACTGCAATGCGCTCTACGTGGGGCTACCTTTGCAGGTGACCCAGAAACTGCAACTAATCCAGAATGCAGCAGCTAGACTGGTGACTGGGAGTGGCCGCTGAGACCATATAACACCGGTCCTGAAAGACCTACATTGGCTCCCAGTACGTTTCCGGGCACAATTCAAAGTGTTGGTGCTGACCTTTAAAGCCCTAAATGGCCTCGGCCCACTATACCTGAAGGAGCATCTCCACCCCCATCATTTAGCACCGAGGTCCAGCTCCGAGGGCTTTCTGGTGGTTCCCGAGAAGTGAGGTTACAGGCATCCAGGCAGAGGGCCTTTTCAGTAGTGGTGCCCGCCCTGTGAAATGGCCTCCCATCAAATGTCAAGGAAACAAACAACTATCTGACTTTTAGAAGGCAGCCTTGTTTAGGGAAGTTTTTAATGTTTGATGGTTTATGGTGCTTTTAATTCTGTTGGGAGCTGCCCAGTATGGCTGGGGAAACCCAGCCAGATGGGTGGGGTATAAATAATAAATTATTATTATTATTATTATTATTATTATTATTATTATTGCTCTGGAAGCAGACTAGGGGGTCTCCTAACACCACTTAGCATCCTTAAGAAACTTCCCGAATTCTTTGGAGGAATCTATGGCTGTTTAAAGTGGTATTCTAGTGGTTTAATGGTGTGGTTAATAGTGGGAGTAGTTTATTCTATGAATGAGGCCATAGAGTAGTAGTGGTGCACCTTTTTCAATCTGAGGGCCACCTTCCCTTCTGGGCAACCTTCTGAGAGCCACATTCTAGTGGTGGGCAGGGTCAGATGCAGAACAACTAAGTTAAATTTATTTTTGTACAGTAATCCAGTTTTCTGCACACACCCAAATACGCATCACTGTCCTCCATCCAACTAAGCAAGAGGCATTATCAGAAGTCGAGGACAGATTTCAAGTAAATAAAACCATTTGGACAGCTGGAGCAGGGAAAGCAGGGCCATTGAGGAAGTGTGGCTTGGGAAGTGTTCTGAAGGTCAAATAAAAGGGCCTGAAGGAATGCATTTGGGCCTGAGGTTTCCCACCCCTGACACCGAGAATGTATATACATCCAAAACATTCATAAATTGACACAGGTCTTCACTTGTATATTCCTATTTCACAAAGCTCCCTCCAGACAAAACAGTGACTTTAAAAGACAAGCTTAAAAGACTCTCTCATGTCGGGACCATCCACCTAAAATGTTAATTAGGACGTATTTCAATACATTCACTTAATACCAGGTTGCTAAGATAATTTTCTTGCGGCCGTTGCCGCAGCCAAACGTGTTAGAAGAAGGCATTTGTTTTTGAATCAGGCTATAAAACCTGTCAACGTTTTTGTAAGCCCATTGGAGGACAGTGGTTTGTGTGGCAATTCTAAGCGGGTCTATTTGATGTCTGGCTCGTACAATGTGCTACCTTGGGACATATCCAACTTCTTCATAGTGTTCGGATTCCTCGCCTCCCCCCCCCCGCACCCCCACCACTGTGGATTGTATAACTGCAAGTATTTGGCAAAAACCATGTATTGATAGGATGCCGTGTGTAAATCAGCTCCTATCCTTCTGCGAAGGAAAAGAATATGGTGTATTATGAATGGAAGGTGTTTTAAGGGATGTCTGTGAAAGCTCAGCACAGACCTTCTTCTTGGCATATGGAAACGTAACCAAAAGGCCCACCTGCCAACATGAGTCATGGCTTGGTTTTTAAATAAGGTGACTGGAGCTGGCAGAAAAGCTGTGGATTTAAAGGAAGGAAAGGGACTACGATTACTGTGCTTTCCTGCATGTTATTATATATTTGTAATGATAAGAAGCAATAAAGAGCGTTTTAGCTGAGGTACATAGACGATGGGCCTTTTATGCCTTTAAAAAACCAAAAACTTATTTATCTAGGCCATCTAAGTGTGTCTGTTGAGTGTTCACATGTGTGGCCAAAGAGCACCTTGTGGCAGAACAAAAACGATTTAAGTTTCTCTTCATGTGCCATGTAGAAGGAACATGCGCTTCACTTTTTGGGGATTATGATTTGTATTATGAAATGCTTATCAAGTTTCCCCCCTCCTCTTCTGCAAGATTAGTTTAGTTTTAATTAAGTAAACCTTTCTCAGGAGGAAGCTCCCCGACTATTCTTCATGCCCAGAGGCAACCATACTTGTTGTTTTTAATTATTTTTCACTGTTACCCAAACTGCTTTGGGTACTCCTGCCCAATTAAATCAAAGGCACGGGATCCTCATACACAATATGTTTAATATTTAATTTTAATTAAATTAATTAAATTGTTTATTTAATTTTATGTCGCATTATTGTGTGCACCAAGTAATGCAAAATTTATGACAGGGAGAATTTCGAGGAGGGGTAAGAGCTGGGTGGCGACGGCGGGGGGGTGGGGGGAGCAGGAGAGGAAGCTTTCAAACAAGCTAATCACAGCAGTCAAAAAGAGCCTTCTGCATCATTTCCAGGGAATAAGCAGCCAAACAGAAGGAGATAACAAAAACAAAACCCAGAAGTTGTTTGGATAAAAATAGGCGGGTGCACAGCATCAAGAGTGGTTTGTTTTACTTGAGTTATCTTGCTGCTCTCACTTGCAGCTGTTACAATAGCACAATGGCATTTCCTGAATTAAATAGGTAATCAGGTCACCATTTAGTGAAACTACAATTTAAGCTTTATTTCCACCTTCCAGAGGGCCAAGGACAACAAATATGTGATCATCATTACAGGTTACCCCTGGAGGTTCACGCTCAGCAGTGCTGCCTACAACTACTAGTAGTTAACTGCTACTATTTTTCACTCCATTCCCACAGTTCTTCCCTCTCTACTTAAATTAATAACAGGGAGCTCAAGTGAGCATTTAGAGGTACATTGGGAACGTAATGCAAAACCATTACGTTTATCAAGTCCAATTTTTTTTAAATGTAACAATAAGAGAATAAAATAAACACAAAAAATCCATAGCTCCCAGTCAAAATGATTAGTTCTCTTTTGTGATTGCATGTGAAAGGGAAATATATATTTTTAGTGAGCAGAGATTTCACTTTAATAAGCAAGTTTTCACCCTTCATTTTAGTTATTGCATCATAAATTTTCCTGAAGTTTGGTTTCGTGCCTGGATCATGATCTACGATACGGTATGATGATAGGAACGTAACATATCATAACATAAATTACTGCTCACTCCAATATCTCTAGGGATGTATGGATCTATATCTGTAGTTATATGAAAGGGGATTTCATATAGCATTAATCTATGTTATTGCAGGAAGCAGTTCAAACTTACTGTAAATATGTCAGGGCGCTGCGTGATATTTTTCATAATTTGGACGGAGGAGGTAGTTGACATTCAGTTGTAAGATAAGGAGATAACACAAATGCATACTCACACAGGGAGACACACACCAGCAGATACCTGTGATAACAGAAACGTAGGGACTGATTCTGCCTCTCTCTGCACTTAGCAGGCATTTAGTGGGAATCTTTCCCAAGAAGGGCAGAACAGTTACTCCCGCTTTCTCGCAACCTGTAGTGTTATGTTCCTTCAAGCTTCCTCCACATTGCAAGATGTTGGCTGGGATTTCCAAATTTGCTTGTCGCCTCTCCCTACCTATATTTATCCAACCAACTTGTTCCAACTCTTCACCTGGATTCCCTGGATTCCAGTATTCCTACAGGTGTTCATGTGCTTCATTATGGAATCTCCACAGCCAATAGGCGGCTCAGGGTCCCTAGAGACTGTTGGTGTATTCTGCAACACATCACTGATGTAATAATAGGGCATTAGTGATTGATTTATATTGGATTGTTCACACACCATTCTGCTCGATTAGTTGTTCTGCAGTGCTTCTCCAGTGTTACTGCATTATTGCCACTCAAGGGACATTCTTGTGCTATAGGGCAACTAAAGTGAGACCCCCGTGATGAACATTTGTGGTATAAAAAATTACAGGATTTCAGCGGGAAGCTATGGGACATGCTCAGATTGGAAACGAAGCAACATGCTCACCCAAAACTTTAGCAGGCAATATTTAAAGCAGGATGGTGCCGAGGGCCTTCCGGCGGTTCCATCACTGCGAGAAATGAGGTTGCAGGGAACCAGGCAGAGGGCCTTCTTGGTAGTGGCACCAGCCCTGGGGAATGCCCTCCCGTCAGATGTCAAGGAAATAAACAACTACCTGACTTTTAGAAAACATCTGAAGGCAGCCCTGTTTAGGGAAGTTTTTAATGTTTGATGTTTTATCGTGTTTTATGTTGGAACCGCCCAGAGTGGCTGGGGAGGCCCGGCCAGATGGGTGGGGTATAAGTAATAAATTTATTTTTATTATTATTACTATTATTATTATTACCCACCAACCATCACGGGCACAAATCATCCTGAATGCCCAATAATAGAGAGGATGTCTGGAGAGCTCCTAACAGAACATAAAGGCTGCAATCCTGTGTACATTTACATGGAACAAAATCTCATTAAACACCATGGGACTCGCTACTGAGTCAACAGGCAGGGAGGGTCAGGCTGCAAGCTTCCTATTCGTCCTCCCATCAGTGCTGACCTAAGTACTGCTAATTTGCCCTTGAACATAAGTACTGATCCCAGACTGTAAGGAGGGATGCACTTTTAGCTAAGCAACTTTGACCAATTTCGACAGCGGTTTGCATGCAAATCCCTGTGGCAGCCCTACTGAAATGGACAGAGGCTGTTCAGCAGCACTGGTGCCGCAGATTGCTTGCAGTACGAGCTGCCCATGTTTTATGAATATAGTCCTCCTTTTTGAACAAAATGGCTGAACGCAGAACAACTGCTGCTACTACTACTGTTGTGGCAAAACAACAGTGTGTGCTTCCCTCTCCTTGCGATGCCCATTTCCCAGACTTAATTGTTAAGAATTGATAGAGATATTCAGCCCATTACTTATTTTTAGCATCATGACAGTAAGGCAAATATAAATATATCCACATATATTATTCATATTGTAATGAGCAGTGCCTCATCCCTCAGGAAGGAATGGCTAACTCCATTCTCTCTCCAATATTATAGATAGTCATAGGGCACTAGTTTTGTTTCTGCAGATTAAATATTATCATAAAAACAGCTGATGGTGCATTAAATTAAAAATCTGATTGGGGTAGACTTTACAAAATGCTTTTCAAGACTAATGCAATTACCCGTTGTAGCTAAACATTAGAATTAAATGGGCATCACTTGTCAGAATGATCCCCCCCCTCTAAAAAATTAATGTGAGGACAATTTAGGATCAAGCGAGATTTATTGTCATAGAATATCTGGCAAATGCTTACTGGGAGGGGAGAAAAGGATTAAAGTAATGAGAACATTTCCTTTCTGCTTTCTATATTTACACTGTACGTATTGGTAAATGCAAATTTGGCACTGGTTGGAGTAAATTTACCAAACTAAGGCATGCTTCATCTAGAGATATATTGTAGATTTTGTTTTTCCAGTTTCAGATTCATGTTCAAAGGTGGATGGGTGTGGGAGAAATATGCTCTATTAAAGTAGGATTAGGTTTTCTTTTGGACTTAAGAGCAAATGGGATATTTTTATAGCATCTAGTATTCATGAAACCAGTGCTTTTTTTCTGGGGGTACGCATACCTCTAAACATTTTGTGAATCTAAGCTTGGCCTCATTGAGGGGCAATATTTCAATATGGGTAGGAAAATGAGAGTACCCCTAAACATTTTTCAAGAAAAGAAAGCACTGCATGTAACTGAACACAATAAAGTACAAAACACAAAACACAGGGTTTGCTTTCCTTGCCTTGCTGCAGGCAAAAATGACTGAAAAGTTCTTATCTCTCTTCTACCCCTCTTTCCCTACATTTGGGGCAGGGATGGTGCAGAGCTGCCCGTCAGCAGGCTGTATATGGCCTGCAGAGGATTCCCATCTGGCCCACAGGGTCTGTCTTCATTAGCCCTCCCCCTTCCCCAAATCTACCTGCAAATTGCAAGCACAGAGCCCCCAGTCCAGGCTGGGACCCTGGTGGGAGCTTTAGCTCTTTGCCCTCTGCTGTGGTCTCATTCTGGAAGGAGGTATAAGAACCTGTGGTTTGCATTAGAAATAAGTTTCCAAAGAATTTAGGGGCCTCTTGTTGGGTGTGGTGGTGGGAGGTAAACAGGATACTTTGGTTTGGAGCCAAAGAGGACCACTGCCCTGGCATCCCAAATGATCTTGAGCAGTATGGATTGTGTTCTGGTTTTGACATAAGCTCCACTTTATTTATTTGATGTTTACAGGTAAGAGTACTGAGGAGGGCTGTGCACCACATTCTCTAGACCAGGGGCAGAGAACTTAAAGGACATGCAGCACCCCTCAATCCTCTCTATCCAGCGCTCCCTAGGATACATCCCTAATTTTCTGTATTTTCTTAAGTATTTTTCTTTGGCTGGAGTGTATCCTTGAGCTTTGCTCACCTTTGCTCACCTGGATGGAGGATGCAGAGGTGGGTGCATGCGGAAACCTTTGGCATTTGCATGGAATGCAGCCTACCGTACAAAGGAAAGAGTCATAACTGTTGCTCCGCCCACTTTCACATCTGGCCACACCCCCCAGAAGGTTATCCACTCTGCCTTCAGAAGGTTATCCATGAGGGAATGTGGTCCTCAAACTGGAAAAGTTCCCCATTCCTGCTCTAGAAAGTACTGTACCTAAATCTGTCAAAGGGACCTCTAACTGATTATCTATACCTAAAAGCATACTTTAAAATTTCATGTTGTAAAAGGTAAGGAAAGTACAGGTAGGAGAAGCAAGTAACATGTGGTCATAGGGGCATTAAGCTTCAGTTTCTAGTCCTGTAGTTCTTTTCTAATGGTTAGAAAAACTTTTCCTGAATCTATATTTCTGGACAAAATAAGGCGGACTACAGTCCTTGAGGTCGCATCTATACCACATGGCTTCCTCCAAAAATTCCTGCTAACTGTAGTTTACCCTCTCCCAGAGCTACAGTTCACAGTAGCCTTAGCAAACTACAGTTTCCACGATTCTTTTGGGGAAGCCATGCGCTTTAAATGTATGCCATGAATGTGACTTGAGTCCCGCTTTTCAAAATGACTGCTAAGCAAATGGTATGAGGAGGGCAGCCTGGAGTGGGTTATTATTACATGGCACATTATTTCTTATCTAGAAGAAACAAAACATTTATCTGAAAGACTAGATTAGATAACTGTGGATTTACTGAAGCTATTTAGACTGGTGAAATAAATCCCATTGATATATTAGTGGGCAGCAGGCCAGGTGAGGTTGTAATTGGTATATGTGTAACTGATCACATAACAAACATTCACCATCAGGTGGCTGTGAAATTTACACTTGGGATTTATAGGCCTGATGACCCAAATACCGCTGATGATTTCTTAGTGATTTGATCATGTAAGCAATTAGCTACTTCAAGGAATATGTTGAGAACAGAAGTGTTGGATGACATTACAGGGACCTCAAGTGAGTGTGTTAGTTGTGCTAATTCAAGATAATGTTTACCTTCGCAATCTGCAGTCACATTTGTGTGTGTGTTTTAGTTCTAGCATTATAAACTAGTTAGGATCATGCTAAAAGACAGGACAGGATCAGGGCCGGATATAGGTTTGATGAGGCCCTAAGCTACTGAAGGTAATGGGCCCTTTATATGTCTAGCTGTCCTTTGTCAACAACAAATTGTCACTGTTTTTTGTGTTGGATATATGCTATATGGTAATTTATGGACCTAATAGGTATCTAAAGCCATTGCACATGCTGAATGTAAGCATCCTATACAGTACTGTATATAGAAATGAGCAAACCAGTGATATTTGAGGGAGCAGGCTAGCAGGGGGGGCCCATTACTTACACCATAGGAGCCTACACAACACAAAACACTGTTGCTGTATGTAGGTTTTATTTTATTTTATCTTATATTTTGGAAATGTACATCCAGTTTTTCCCCTTTAAATTTTTTTGGGGCCCCCAAGAGAGTGGAGCCCTAAGCTATAGCTAGTTTAGCTTATAAGTAAATCCGGCACTGGAAAGGACCACCCTCAGATAAAGGAGGACACATGGTCTCCCTCTCTACAAAGTTAGCTCACTAACAAAATAGTGCTGGGGGAGAGAAGCAAGACTTCATTTGTGTGTGTGTGTGTGTGTGAGAGAGAGAGAGAGAGCCTGTACATGCTGTATGAGGTTCATATATTTTGCTGGGGATGGCATTGAAAGAGGTTGGTGGAGAAGTGGTACAAGTCCTCCCTTTCCACCATTGTGGAGGACACCTGAATTGACATGCTGCTGTTCTGGCCAGTGTATCACTGAACTACAGCTGGCAGCCCTTCTGGATGGACTCCATCCAACCAGGTTGGACACTGGATCCTTCAGGGCAGGAAGGAATGGAAAGGGCTTTCTGTTCTAGCTAGAGCAACAAAGTCTTTCTGAGTTCTTGGATTCTTGAGGGTCAACAGAGCTCATCAACTTTTTGTAAACAGGTGTGTATAGTTGTAAAGATTTGTATCAAGTGCTTAGAAGCAAACTTTGCTTACGGGTCACTTCTGAACAGACCTTGTTACTTCCCTTGCCCATTTTGTGTTGCGTTGCAATGTAGTCTTCTTAGCTGGTAAATAACAAACATGAAAGAAAGATACAAGTACTGTACAATGTGGCCCCTACCATAAACGCACAATTATGCAATGCATGCCAATCATACAAGCATGATTGATATATATTTCCTTCTCTATCTAGAATC